GCGATATGGTTCATGGGGTCACAAAGAGTCGGACACGACTTAACGACTGAACAACAACCACAAATGACTAAAGAAAGAAGTTAAACATTATCTCAGTGTGGTTTAGCTGTAATCTTTGGTTTTCTCTCCCATCTCCAGAGCAGATTCTACTACATGACCAATCAGAAACATCCCAGAATTGTTATTCTTGTTTTTATTATTTTGATTATTGTTGGTGTTGTTTATAAGCCACTTTCATTGGATTTGTATCCTGGAAGGTAGGATATAAACTATTAATATACTATGTAGTTATAATAGGAAAACTAATTTCTAAAGATTTATTTTCAGAAATAAAAGTCTGCAGTTTTTTCTCCTTCACTTGTCTTTTTCTGCAAACAGTTTCTAATGATTTCAGAGATGAAGAACTAACCAAACTGAGTTGTGGCATCCTGGAACAGACTGTTTTTTGACACTGAGTTACCTGGCTCTGCTTGTTCAAATTGTTATTTTCTGATGTGGAAGGCCATTTATTCAAGCTTGAACCAGTTGTGTCTAGGTCCACATGTTCTGTTTTATGTTCTCTACTATTCTCTATTAAAGGTGTTCTTGTCTGAACAGGACAGTTCTCATTTCTTTCCAAGGTTTTGGGGTAAGTATGATCTTTTGATAGGAAAGAACTGTCATGTTCATTAGATATGAACAGTTTCCGAACCACAACTTCTGGATGCTTAGCCTTCAGTATCTTATAAACACCATTTTCTGGACTGTTCTTTTTCTCTGATTTAACATTTCGGAAAAAAGCATCAATTATTGGACTTCTGCTTGATGGTGAGCAAGGCAATTTCTTCCTTCTGTTTTGCTTTGGAGAAGATATGCTTTTTTTAAGACGGTCAACACATGAAACTGTATGTCCAGCTTGTCCATTTCCTTTTTCTGGAGAACACAACACAGTTCTGTCTTCATTAATACATGTAAAAGAAATGAACAACAAATTAATCATACACAATTTCTAGAATCTCATGGAGCATGTCATATCCCAGTGGCAAATCTAAGGCTGTTGATAAATTACAGAATGTTTTTGTACATCTACTTCAATATATGTTTTTAAGTGAGATCATTTGGATTTCAAGTCAAGGGCTTAATGCTACACCACGTGCTAGATTTCTGAGAGGAATATCCCTTCCAAAACATTGTTTGGAATCTCTTTAGATGAGATTCAATCGTTCCAAGATTTTCAAAAGCATGCAAGATCCCAGCAATGGGTTCTTAGGGTCAAAAAATGTTACTTACCTATGGTCCAAGTCATACAATTAAATTATATTTCATAGCAGCTATGAGAAACGTTATCAGCTATGGTGCTCAGTAGCACCAATTAAGTACTTTGCAGACAAGAGAACCCAAGCATCTCAGTTGAAACAATGGGAAAAAAATAAGGGACACATTGCCATCAGTGTACATGAAGGACAGGCAATATATTTTCCTCTGGATGTTTTGGATGACAACACCCTATCAGTTTCAACTAGTATGGTCAATGACCAGGGACAATGGAAGTTGTAGATAATAGTAGGAAATGTGGATTAAAGGATAAACATGTAGTAGTTTAGTAAATGTTCCAAGCTTGAGACAGCTGTTCCAGTGCATTACTGTTAGCAAGGTTTTTTTTTTTAGTTCCTCCAAGCCACTGAGAAATAGCAAGCATAATTCCATCCCAATTGCCACTGGAGCCAGTTAAAGAAGAAAAAAGAACTGTCATTTTTTTCCACCAGTCCTCAAAAGATATAGGCACAAAAGAGAATGCAACTGGTGCTTGTTTTCCTGACATTGGTGGGAGGAGAAAAGAAGCAGAGGAATCCACCAATCAGAGACTGTATTAGCCATAATCTGGACCAAATACCTCACCATCACTGCACCCAAAGTGAAGGAAAGGGGTTAAATTTGGAAAGAGATTTCTTAAACAGGCTTCATTTCCAGCCCATTTGTATGAGAGATAAGCAGCTGAAGACTGCAGCACATAAAATCCCTATGAATAAGTATAGACAGTCCCCTACTTACGAACAGGTTATGTTCCAAGAGGCTGTTCCTAAGTCCGTTTTGTTCGTAAGTCCAACCAAGTAAAAAGTAAAAAAAAGAGGAGGAAGCAGGAGACAGGGCAGTGGTATGGGCAGAGGAGCCCTATATTTTGCTGCCAATGCGTCACCAGGTAAGGCAGGAGAGGCAACAGTGGCTCCCTGGACTAAGGGACAAGCCGGTGGGGCCAAGCGTGCTCCGTTGGTAGGCAAGGCAGGAGACCTCTCCACCCTCTCCCCGTCCTCTGCCACCGCCCCCTCTCTGCCTCACCCAGTGATGGAGCGCACCACGTAAACTAACCCTTTCTGGGAATTCCAACTCCAATGCAAACCTCCAGGGCAAGTGGAAGGCGGGAGAAGGCAGAAAAGGGTTAGTTTGCGGCACGCTACAAAGTGTGATGGAATGGTTTGATGAAGGCCGCGCTCGGGGAGATAAGCATTTCCTTAGCCCCCAACAGGAGCGTGGTCTCCTACTTACGAACTTTTGGGTTGTGAACTTTCACCTTACAGACAAGATGGACCCGGAAGTCAAAACCGGAAGTTGGTCTGGAAGTTGGCAGAAGGTGGGAAAAGGTTAGTTTGTGTGATGGAATGGTTTGATGAAGGCCGCGCTCGGGGAGATAAGCATTTCCTTAGCCCCCAACAGGAGCGTGGGAAGGTTAAGAAGATGAGACTGGCAATGAGACTGGTGTGAATTCCTTAGGGTGGTGCCAGACTCATCTTCTTAACCTTCCCACGCTCCTGTTGGGGGCTAAGGAAATGCTTATCTCCCTGAGCGCGGCCTTCATCAAACCATTCCATCACACAAACTAACCTTTTCCCACCTTCTGCCAACTTCCAGACCAACTTCCGGTTTTGACTTCCGGGTCCATCTTGTCTGTAAGGTGAAAGTTCACAACCCAAAAGTTCGTAAGTAGGAGACTGCCTGTACACTCACCAACAAGCACAGACCATTACCTTATTCCTAAGTTCTGAGGTTCTCTTTTAGCTATGAACTTTACCTCTTCCATTGCATAGACAAGAAGCGTGGCACAATATATCATATAATGCATTTCCATTTCTTGCTGTGCATTAAATTGCACATTTTTAAATTCTGATTTTGCTTAATGTACATAGCTGCATATGAATTTTCGTTGCAAAACAACCTTATAAAACATTTCAAAACACATTTATTTATGTACAAATCAAATGTATAGGCTACCCAACTCATAAAAAATCAAGCTGTATCTAAGTTAAAAGAAACATTTTTTACCTTGTTTGAGAGCTGGTTTGAAAAAGTCAGTAATACATTTGTTTCTATAATAAAAAAAGAAACATAATAAAATCTCAGCAATGTTTGGAAAGGACATTTTGAAACATAACATTGTATCCTTTCCCAACCAGATCTTTCTAGATGTACTGGAATCACATTTCCCATAATGTCCAGCCAGCCTTCATAAATTGGGGGAGGCCAACTCACTGCCAGGAGGTCAACCTTCCACAACTCAAGTTGAATTATAAGAATGAAGCAATCTTCAGCATGTCAAGCATTAACAAATAAGACTGCTATCAACAGATTGATTCTGTTAAGTAGAGGGGAAACAATACTAAAGAGACAGAGATGTAAAGTTATCTATACAACAGACTACTGACATTACAGCTTCTGTTCAAGTAACATGGACTCTTGCCACCCATGTCAGAGAATGATCACCCCCAGTTAGGTATGGGAACATTCACTGTACTATATCCTTAAATCTGACTCCCAAATTCTAGTAGTCCTCTGCTATATCCAAACTTTCAATTTTTGCAGGTATATTTACAGCTGAAAAGCAGTTTATGAGTAAGAATTGGAGTGCAAGAATAAAAATTAGATCTTTGCTCGGAACAGCCTACCACACTGATGTTTCTCTTTCTATACTTCACTATTCACCTTTGGTTCATTTGTCTGAAGGTGTATTATTTGGCTTTGCTTCTAAAAGTAGGGACGATCAAGCACACCTAATGTAGAATTCTTTACCCCAGCAGAGCTCTGGAGGAAGGAATGTCAAAGCAATAAATGAAAGCAACTTATCCCACCAATCTGGAGGTTGAGTCATGGCAACTGGACTTCTTTTCTTGTGGTTTCATACATTTTGCTGCTTATCCAAGCAGCCTCTTCAGTCCAGAAAGTTGGTTGGGGGGACCCCATCAATGTCTTCCAGGGTGGCTGCCTTTCTCACTAACATGAGGGGCTTGTTGAAGGAACAACAGGAGATGAGATCAGTAGAGTCTTTGGGATGTGGATGTCTTGCTCCTAATCCCTCACTCATTCCCAAGTGGGTCGTGAAGTGCTGCCTCCCTGGTGAACTTGTGAAGTGGTCTTAATCTTCCTGGAGACTGATGAAAGAGCAGCATGAAAAATGGGAGACAAGTTGTGTCTGAGGCCTCCACCTCTATTTAGGGAAGGATTTTCCACTTTGGCATAAATGGATTCCTTCACTCCTCTCTCAATTGTCCCTTCAACAAGCCCATCATGTTGGACAAGCAGCGAAACGTATCAAACCACAAGAAAAGAAGTCCAGTTGCCATGACTCAACCTCCAGATAATTCCACTTGGATGACTGAGAATTTTCATCAACCTATCCCACCAATGGGGACATAATTATTTAATTGCTTCTTTATTTCTTACAGTATGCAAGTTGTTTTTTCTAAGGCACTTGGTTTGGGAAACACTGGTTTAAACTTTTTAAAAATAAGAACACATAAGTAAATAAATAGTTCTGAGTATAATTTATCTAACAATATTTATAGGCTGTCCCAATCCATATGGACTTCAGATATGTCTTCTGCTGCATATATTTCACATTTTTATCCTTGATTCACTGCTTCTACAATGTGATTCAGAGCTATGGCTCTTCGTTGTTTATCTTTTTATGCACACTTTATTATTCAGAACTAGCGTGTCAATTGGAAAGACTGTACTGATCACTTGCATTCCATTATACCATGATATCTTTACTAATAATGTTAGAATAAATCCTTCAGGTAGAGATAGAAACAAACCCTTTGCACAAAAAGGCAAAGCTCCATTGACATAAGACAGAACAAGGGGGGGAATGACAAAATACAACCTCAATCAGTGGAGCAAAGATAGCAAGTTACAAAGCATTTGGATTATTGTGATTAGAGTCTGCACTGGAAAAAGCATCAGCATAAATTTGCCGAAAGACTAAATGCTTTGTGTTTACCTTTGCATTGTAAAATACCTCTAATTCTGAATATGTAAGATAGTTATTGTTACACGATGGCTGGGTTCACACATTACATTAAGCCATAATGTGGGTTTTGTTTTTGTTTTTTTTACTTATGATATAACACAAAATTGAACTCTGGCCACTTGATAAACTATGTTGTTTTGGTCAAAGGAGTCACCAGGGGTCACACATACACAAACTATTAAGGCTCACCCACATTATATCGACCTGTCCCACCCAGTCAAGCAGAGAGGGTATGCTGAAGACCCCGTTGACGAAAGAATGTCGACTGGCAGGGCCCAGAAGGAGACCCTTCTCTGCCGTGGCCCTGCCCTTTCCCCAGAGGTGAAGCAGGCCCCTACTCTCTTGACCTTCTGGAAATCAGTCAAGACTTGGCTCTGCCAACTTGCATGGGGTATGAAAAGGGGCAACCAACCGTGGGGGTGGCTAGCACCTTGAAGATGCTCCCGTATGTTAATATCTTTTCAATCACCAGCACCTTGGAAGATATTATTATTTATGTGTATATTTGGTTTTATTGTATTTTTACACTGCTCTCAGATTCTGAACTGAATTTGAAAAACCACATAGCAGCAGCAGCAGTTATAAGATTCTTTGCTTTTGGACTGTTTTTAGGACTGGATATGCCACTTACACCACACGTATTTCTAGTTCTAAAGTCTATATTGAAAATGCTATGTTGGTAATATGAATCTATTGCCAACAAACAAAACTTGAGTCAGAGCTTCTATCAAATCCTTAGATATATTTATTATTTATTTATTAATTTTGTATGCCGCCCATCTCCCTCAGAGGGTGACTCTGGGTGGCTCACAGTTAGAGTAAAACCCGAAAACAATTTAAAAAATAAACAACCGCATTAATTAGTTAAAAAGTCAGACTATATAAAAAAAGAACCTATACATAAAAAGACTTTATACCAGTTGTAAGAATAGCAGTTGTACAAATTGAAATTAGAAGGAACCGAAGTGTGGTAATAACACTTTTTCATGTACTTTTTCTAATGGACATTAAATTGGGCAAAATTCCTATGTCTCACACATTGAACGGTTGTACAATAAAACAGTCATATTATATGAGAGTCCATTCTTACAACTGAATAAAGATTTCAGGGATACATCACATTTTAATAACTTATCACAATACTTCATTGTTTTGTTGCTAACCTATTGTAGCAAAAATTTTGAAGACTAACAAATTGACATAAACTTTATTTAATTACAGCCCACCTCACCAGATGGCTTAACTGCTACCCTAATTACAAAAATATTACAAAAAGATAACCTATCTAATTGCCAGTAATAGTTCAATTAAGGATAACACTACGCCAGACTAGCTGGTTTCCTGGCTACTTGACCACTGAGGGACCAACACACACACAGTCTCACAAAAAAGTTTGTGTACTATGCTTAAAATAATGAAAGGCAAAACTTCACCTGGCAGCACAGTGAGAGTCTATGGTATAATGGTTAAGTGTACAAGACTAAGATATGAGGAATAAATCACATTCCTTTAAAAAAAAAATATTGGATGTTGCTTTAACATTTCCTGGCATTCTCCATATGTGTTGATCCCTCAGCTGTTGTGTATTCACATCCAAAGGTTGGTTTCAAACGTTGCATTAAGCCAAATCTGAATAAACCATATTATGGCTTAGCTCACCTACACAATAATTCTCTGAGAATAAGAAACAAAATATCTTTCAGCCCTCTCCTTATTGTTACATCTCCCTCAAATATAGAGTGGTGCCAATGAAATACTGTAGGACTTTCCATGTCCACAGTGCCAAAATTCTACCAGCAAAGTTATAACCAAAGCTGCATAGCTATATCCAACCAGAGGTTCTACCTCCCATTAATATACTTTTTATCATAACAGAATTCAGAATCACAGTGGTAGGATTTAGTCTGTTCTGGACAGAACCTGAAAAGAAAAAAAAAGACCTCTCTAACTAGGGTGACTCTCCTCATTGATCATGTCAACTATTTTTGTGCATCTCTCTATACTCTTATTTCAGTGTCTACCAGGTGCTACTTTCCCAGACACTCCTGTCTATACCTGAGTCAATTCTAGAGCACTGCAAAATATTAAGCATGCCTTTCAGAATATCATCCAATATTTGGCAATTTTCAGATTAGCTACACAATGTGAAAGGAATTCTTTTTCTCCGAGACCTAGAAAAGATTTCATACAGTCTCAGAGAAAATCAGAAAGAAAACACCCTACTCTTGCAGGTGGGAGAGTAGCATCTTCTTCCAGAGTCCTTTTATTTTTTCTGTGCTACATAGTGAGAAATGGAACTTATTTTTAACTATTCAGTACAAAAGACTTTAGAACTCTGCCTAGAAGTGAACATGGGCTTCCTCCTCTATAGTCACTCTGCTGTCCTTCCATATCATGATTGGTAGTATGTGCATACCTCTGGAACCACATACTAGCAGTTACCACTAGCCCTGCCTACTTTGGGTTATCAGCTATTTCTAGTATTCAACTTTCAGTGTACCCATTTATTCCCCCAGAAGTGGCTTCTCCACAGGTAAGGCCAACTGCAAAAGCAAACAGCAAGGTCAACAGCCATTCCTTGCAAGCACCATACCAAATGGAGGAAGCCCAGCAAGAGCTTCTCCCTCACCCCCGCAACTCCACATCCTTTAAAGATCAGAATGTACTCTGCCGTGTAACACCACGAAAGATATTAAATGCAATGCACTTCTTACACGACGTTTTCTTTATAGGGAAGCCTATATATCACGCAAGGACCAGCTTAGAGGAACTCGTTCCCCTACACGCACACGCCGAAAAGCACATCCCCTTTCCCAAGCGTGGCATCAACATCATCCCATCAAATTTTTGAAACGCAGCTGACCCTTACGCTCACAGGTTCGTCATAGGATATGTAACGGGAGCGGTCACTCTCACGTACCTGGTATCCGCGGCCCCGCGGCCCCGCTGGCTGGGAGAACTCGCAGGAGAGCTAAGCCGCGTGTGGCAGCCGCTGTCGCCGCCCCTGCAGTTCTGGGTCATGGCTCCAAATACCGGCGCCCGCTTCGGGACTGACAGAAATGAGA